GTTAACCCTGAAGCTGCATTGAAGATACAGTAGCCGCTCAAAGCACGACTCTTTTGAGAGACATCTACTTTGTTGACGCGGTTTGGCCAGCCGTTTTGTAGGGTTCACTCAGCCTCCGCTGGAAAGTGACGGCGTCAGTTTTGAGCCCAGGACGGGGAAGAAGGACTATGGAGACGTCTTCGGCTGCTCAGCACTGCATGTGGCAGCACACAACGGCCATTCAGAGGCCACTCTTAAGAGGTTTGGCATGGTCCTCTTGTTTTTCAGTTCCGGCATGGGTTTTGTTGGTGTAATCTCTTTTTCCTTCGTCTATGCTAAGTTAAGTTAACTGCAGTCTAAATTCGGGTGGCACAATGCACCAGCCGCTGCCATCGTTTCGAAAGCGGCTGCTGCCGTCCGAAATAATCCGACTGTCAGTTTCCTTCCAGGAGCATGCGCACACAACCCCAACCGCTAAACCTTTTGTTTTTTGATTTGCTGGTTGCTCAGTTGCTTGTAGGCTTTCTGAGGACATGCTCTTGATTCGTTTGAGTCTTGGGTTGCAGTTTGGGTGGTGACGTTGCTGCCTCAGCCCTCATGCCTAAACCCTAAACAGGATGTGGCGGAGTTGCTGTCAGCAGGCTTCGATGTAAACGCAGAAGACCACTTCGGAGAGACACCGCTTCACATGGTGGCACGTTCGGGCTGCAAAGACACGGCAAAACTTCTACTAGGGCTCCTTGGACTGTATAAGGGTTACCATAAGGGTTGAAGTCTGCCCAAGGTCTCTTTGTTGCTTGAGCGATACGTAGTCTGAGATGGGCTAGCAAAATAAGAAGGATATGCCCGACAAATTACAACAGGTCCCGAGCAGCCGAGATCGACTAGACCCAAAGTCCCCAAAGCCCCCCGCACGGTGGGATGAAACATGGTCCTCAACATGACCCTGACGCATGCAGGGTGCCCGTCCTTTCTCCTCCCGTGCTTATGTATGATGTGGGGCGTGCTTATTTGGCACATGTTTTCTCGACACTAGCACGTCCTCATTTGCGTGATGTTGCTCTTGCCTTGGCTCTGGGCTGAAACCCGCCCACGTATAGAACCGCCGGACTTGAACCTTCAGCTCAATCCCTCTAGCCGAATCTACGCTAGATGCACGTTAAGCACTCCCTGTGCCGAAGCGGTATGACCTTAGTGCAGTTTGCATTATCCAGAGCGGACCTTGCTATGCGGGAGCCAATGATTGGCCAGAGCATCCGAGCCTAGACGCTCCTGTGAAACCAACTTACTGACTGCCCCGCACATGACAAGAAGCCCTACGCATTTAAACCCTTGCTCATAAATTCCTAAATGGAGGGAAAAAAATTCTAAGCGCCCAAACCCCAAGTCGAGGCATGGCGCTGACAAGACCCGACGCCACTGAGCCGACATTGAGGGGACTCCAATGAGGTAACCTACCATTATATGGGCTTGGGCTTGAGGGTGTAGAGTTTTCTAGTCGCTACCGATTAGGATCCTCAATAGAGCGACATTGATTCTGTCAGTCCGTCCCCAAAATAGGACAAATTAGGGACACTCACAGGTTCCTGTGAGACTGCAAGAGAGGTAACTGCAACGGCCTGACGCCCTCGGCCGTGGCGATGCTTCATGACAAGTCCTTTGCTGCCTTTCTCGGCACCGGCTCGTGAGCAATGTGGCGTTTCTTGCAATGGCTTACTTTAAGGTTCTAGTAGAGGGGAATTAGGAATTTGGGTGGTCCATTACTAGACTCCAGCTATGATTGCAGTTCTTGTTTATCTGCCGAGGGCACAAGAGTTGCCGCAAGCCGCAAGCCACTGCACGACACCTTGGTTTCAGATTTCCTTGCCCCGGGTTGCTCCATCAAGCAGCCTTTTGTCCATCCGCCTCTTGCCGAGTCTTTCCCCCCGACACTTCGATCCGTTAGCCACAAGATGCTGGAAAGAAAGCAGCTTCAGTCTGCAGTAGTTGCTGATACCGTCAATCACTCAGTGTACGCTGACATCATGTTAGCTGAGAGTATTTCCGGATTTCATAGCCTGCCGAAACCGCCCTTGCGGTACATTGCTAAGCACATGGTACACGTGAGAACGCATGCCAGACAGCATCTTGCTGCGACAGTTTCCTACAGTCGTGCTCGTAATCTTACGAAGTGCATTTGCTGTAGCATGCTGCCGCACCAAATCCTTGATATGGCTCTTTGTTGTGAAGAGTAGATCTGGGCATATTGCGGTCTCGTTGCTTTGTGCCGGCGATCTCGCTTCGGGGTAGACGTGAAGCCTGTGCGAGTCTGAGGGTCGGAACCCTATGATGGTAATGATCAAAATGACATGAATAATGCTAATAACACCAAAGAACGAGAATAATAACACCACTTGTCGACTACGAGAGAGAGAGAGAGAGAGACTACATCTACGACTAAGGCCAAGGAACTCGTCTCGGCGGCCTGAGTTCCCCACGCCTGGCCCTCTTTTGCTCCGGGGGGTCTTCGAAGTGTCTGGTGTGCCTGCTGAGTTTTCAGTCGTCCATTTTCAGTGGCAACTCTAATCCCTGACCCCTAAATTCCCTAAATCGGTGACTCTAAACCCTAAGCTCTCAACCCTATTGAGTCAGCACGGCCCTCGCAGCGTCTTTTGGCTTGTCGGGAGCTGTTGCCCCTGCACATCTGTGGCACGCACATGCAGTCCCAACTAGGAGCATCCTTGTTGCCCGTGCAGAGCAAGAGCTGGTAGCAAGCGGGGCTCACTCAGCATCCTCGTCCGGGGGCCATGAGCGAGGTGCGCGGCTTTTCGGATAGTCGGGCTTCCGCCGTGACCCAATGTTCCCGCCGACGCACCCCCCAAGAAGAAGGTCGGAAATTTTAGGATATCCTCAGTTCCCATTGATCCATCCATCTTTCAGAGGACCTGTAACACATCAGCACCGTGAAGCCTTCTCATGCTGGAGTCTCATTGGGTAGATCCTTCCCTCGACCTTCTGCTTCCAGGGTTCGTTTGATGATGATGATGATGATGGTGGTGATGGTGATGGTGATGATGATGAAGATGATGATGACAAATGGACAGAGGGTATCCATGTTCTATCTGATTTCGCTTCCTGCTCACTTCACGACGTGCAGAGCATGCTGGCCTTTCCGATTTCCACATGGTTCTGTCTAGTCTCTGCCTACTTCTACGAGGCCCGTGGATAGCTTTGTGAAAATCCGCGAGCCCGAATGTATCTTAGCGAGCCCCAAACTTTCAACATGATCCGAAATTCGCGAACCCCTCAACATCCGAGTTTGACTACGACCCCAACTCTAAAAACCCTCAACGCAGGAAACTGGTTGCGACTGTAAACCTGAATTTTTAAACCCTAAAGCCCCGAGACCTCGCCAGACGAAATCTCAAGAAGCCCTGAGCCCTAAGGCCTACACTCCCCTGCGCCCTAAACACTTTCGGCTCCAAGACCAGAAGCCCAGCGCGGCCTGTAGCCCAGAGCGCCATGCACCCAGCTCGACGCTCGAGGCCGGCGTCGTGGCATTTACAAAAGAGGGGCGTTAACTTTTTCGAATTTAGAGTTTCTATACGGGTTCTTCAAGGGGGCTCTATGTAGGGTTACTAGAAGGTTTGAGTCTAGGCGCCTGAGCAACAACAACAGCAACAGCAACAGCAACAGCAACAGCAACAGCAGCCGCAACAGAAGCAGCAATTGCAACAGCAATACCAACAGCAACAGCAACAGCAACAGCAGCAGCAGCAGCAGCAACAACAACAACAACAGCAGCAACAGCAAAACAACAACCGCAGAAGCAACATCACTGCAACAGCAACAAAAATAGCATTAGTAGTTTCGACGATAAGAGCACCGGCAACAAGAAGAATCACAACGACAAGAGCCGCAACAATAACAAGAAGACATTGAATACTGACCCTCGCTGTCATTGTAATATTGTTGCTATTGCTGGCCGGTGGTGGTAGTCGGGCTGAGCATCAGTGGCGATCATATCCGGATTGCTTCTACTTGCGGTGGTTGCGGCGGTCGTTGTGATGCTGACGACAAATCTTTAGGTGATGACCGTGACAGCAGTGATGACTCTCACGAAGGTACTGATCTGGTGGTGGGGATGCAGAGATCAGCAGCATGATGCTGGCAATGATGACGGTCGTCATGATAATTGTCGTGATGATTCTGCTGCTGCCGCTGACATTGCCGTTGCCGTCGGTGTTGTTGTTGTTGTTGGCTCTCGGCTCAGGCGAGGTCAGGCGTAGTACAGTTAGCCTTTTCTTCGCTCGCCAGGCATTCGCCACTGCCTGAGTTGTCCCGATCCCAAGTTTGGGAGGGAGCAATCTGAGGTTACAGATTTGGAGAGGCACCCAGAGGTGAGGGTTGTCGGTTTGCGCAGCCGGCAGGAGCTGTGTCCAATATGGGCATAGCGAAACAGCACAGTGATCTGACACGGAAATCAGCCAGCTCCTAAAGGGAAAGGCAAACAATCCCATCAGCAGGAAGTTAGAATGGCTCAGCAGAATGGCAACGCAACATAAAAGGGCAAGACTCTTACATTGGCAGAGCTTGGAGGTACTCCGGCTCTGCCGGAGCTGCATGCTCGCTGACCTAAGAAGTTGGAAGTGGGATATTAAAGGTATATCGAGAAAATCTCCTGGAATGCGGGTTCATTGACAACAGCAGTCTGGGCAGAGTTGCTCTCCTTGCTGCAAACCCCAGCTTGCTCGGAAGTCAGGATCCAGGGTATTCAAGAGACACATTGGAGGAGTAGCTGGCAATTCAGCAAGGGGGAGTGGCCTGCCAACTCTCCGCCTGAAGGCAAAGAGCCATCTCATGAGATGCATACTTGAAGAGCCACAGTAGGTCAAACGCTCGCTCACAGAGTTGCAATCATCCTCCTGTTGCGGGTGTGGTTGTTGTGGTTTGTGGTGGTCGCCGTCGGTGGTGCTGGTGCTGATTCTGGGGCCGGTGGTAGCCGTGACGGTGGTGATGATGCTGTCGGCGTTATGTTGTTGATGGTGAAGACGGCACAAGCAGCAAGGAAACCCTTGCGCAGGCCCGCGCTCCATGTCGGGCTCGTCCTGGGAGTTGTGACCGGAACGCAGCTGCTCCAGTCATTGTGGTGCATTCGATCCTGGGTACCCCAAGCATCACAAAGGCCACCATTGAGGCCGCGCAAGGCACTGGGCACAGAATCGGTTGTCAGAGACGTCGCCAACGATGAGCACTGGCTGTCATTCAGCATCTCGGCAAGAATGGTCTTGTGCCATATTAGTACACTGGCCACGACACGGACGAAAGGAATCTACTTCGGTGGCTATTTCTGGTATGGTCAGTGCATGCATAAGAAAGTACGTCTTCGAATTAATGAATGCCATGTTTAAGCGATGGGGCTCCCAAGCTTCATGAAGGAGGTAGGCAGGTTCGGGGCATCACTTCCAGTGGAATGGCCGTGACTTCTTGTGTATATCTACTTCGTCCATAAACTTCACAAAAAGTGCAAGAAATCCGAAGATAGCTACGTTGCAAGAATCGACCTGAACTTGAATTTGGCTTCAGGTAGCAGTGTCGACATAGAGGGTGCATCTGCATCAGAAGCGTACGACATCTACGCACATCTGCCGAACCACCCAGAGTGGTCATCTTTGCTGTCGGAGGTTTCTTGGAGGCATTGCAATGGGCCTTTCCTATAGAACTGTGTTTGGCTAAATTAAGCTCTGGCTTTGGTACAAGTTGAACTGGTGTACAAGATTATTGGACACATAAGGTTGAAGTGCACGACAACACTCAGTCAAGCACCTGGTCTCTGCAGGCTCTCGGCTTTAGTTTCTCATGGACAGCGGACATCACCCGACAGGTCCCTTCGAAGCTAATCGCTTGGGAAAGCACCAGCGGCATGAAGAATGCGGGCGTTGCGAAGTTCCAAGAGCTGCCTCCTTCTGCTGGAACGCCGGCCTGCCGCGTGACGGTTCCTGGAACCTTCCGGAAGGTTGTTTTCTCTCCATGCACTTCCATGTCAGTGGTACGCAGGGCACGGGCAGTAAGATTCTTTCCTCCTTGCTGCCCAGGTGCAGATGAGCCTGAGAACCCCGTCCCTTTTGCGACGAGTATTCCAATCCCGACGACTGAGCAGCATGGCAGAAAGCGCCATCGGGAAGGACCACAATTCTCATTTTGAGATCAAGTTGACATTTAGTCACCTCACAGACAGGCCTGCGGACAAGAGACATAGGCTGCGAGCAAAGGTCACAACATGTTTCCTGAAGCTGCATGTCCAGCCCGAGCAGCATGAGAGAGGGTCCAGCATCACCGATGCTGTCCTCGTGCATTTACAGATCTATATGAAAGCATGCATGCATGGATGAATGAATGGACGCATGAATGAATGTATTTATGGAGGTAAGTATGTCATGTGCATGTAGGTAGGTATGTATGTATGTATGTATGTATGTACGTCTGTTTGTATGTATGCAGGTCGTGTGCATGTATTTATGTAACTGTGTATATCTTGTATACTATGTATACTGTAGTCAGACCTAGTTGTATCTTCAGGCTGAGCTGTTTAGATAAAGTTGCACCGTGTTGCTGGCGCGGTTGTATTCCAACCAGTATCGGAACTTGGCACGAATAAGAATACTTATGATGCTGCTATTGTTGCCAATGCTGCCGTTGAGATGGCTGCCCGGCTCATGACTACTACCAGTAGTGATGGTGACAAGGTGTGGCAGCATGAGGTTGTTGTTGTCGTGGACCCGGACCGGACCCCGTGTAATTGGTTTTGGGCGTGATGTGGGGTGGTAGGGTCATTAGTCCGCAGTACGTCGATGCGACGGGCACGAAACGGCACCCCACCGAAGAAAAGCAGTTCAATCACCAAGTCCTGCAACCTGTCACCAGAGTCCTCCCTTCGGTTATAGTTCAAACTCACTGACTCCTTAAGTTCGCGACCATATTGACAGTGGATGCCCCTCCCCGCCCTCTTGATCCTGCGCTTGCCGCTACTACGACTACGCTACTGTTACTAGTACCACTACCATGACCATGACCATTACCATTGCCACGACCACCAGCACCACCACCACGACTACGACTACTACTACTACTACTACTAGTACTACTACTACTACTACTACTACTACTGCTGCTAACAACAACAACAACTACTACTACTACTACTACTACTACTACTAGCCACCCCCCCCCTCCCAACTACACTCCGTCATGGTCGTCAACATCATCATCACCAACAAGATCGGAAGAGC